TGCCTGACCACACGCCGCCTCCGCTGGCCCCGAAGGATCTGTCACGCGCGCTTGACTCTCGTCTATAGGATCCGCGGCCATCTTGTGTTCGAAGCGTTTCTGTTCGTTCGTCCGTCACCTCATGGGGACGTCCGGGAGGATGGTTACTAAGATATTCATGGATTTTTGTCCCGTAAGGTATTGTCCGCATAATTTGCGGGCATCTGGACATATGTGTTGAAAGATTAGCTCCTCGTATTTATTTGCGTACATCATGGCCATTTTCGGCGCGTTGTTTCCCTCCGGCCAAGAAAGGTACGCGATGGCTTCGAAACCCGTGTGTGACGCGGGCTTAGGCTTAATCCCTAACCACACAAACCTCCTTAAGACTTTTAACTCTTCGCATGAGTCATGAATTACGCATGCAAGTGTGGTTCACGAATGAGGAGGCGGCATGCCCACTCCCACAACCGGAAACATGCGTGATTTAAGCCTGCCTTCCGCGCGGCCATGTACCCACTCTCACATCCGGGAACCCGCGGTCCCGCTACGGGATTGGCCCGTCAGCTGGTGCTTGAAAACGGTGACGTCAGGAGCCGCCTCAAAGCAAACGCTTTGGTCATGACTCGCTGTATATGTGTGTATATATACAATGTATCTAGACACTGCATATGCGAATGCGCGCGCACACGCACACACACACACACACACACACACACACACACACACACACACACACACACACACACACACACACACACACACACACACACACATGCGCGCGCACACACACACGCACACACACACACACACGCGCACACACACACACACACACACACATGCGCACGCACGCACACGCACACACACGCGCGCGCCATGTTTCACGTTTGTTTTGCTTTCTCCCAGAGGATATTGTTTGCATATTGAATTTGTCAAGTAATGTTATTCTCGGCTTTACCTTGAGCTTGCTTGCCTTCAGTTTTATGTATATATGTACACATGCATGCAAACAAACACAAGCATACATACGCACATATACGCATACTCCCACACACACAAATATACATTCACACACACACGCACACACACACACACACACACACACACACACACACACACACACACACATACACACATATATATGTATGTATATATACACATCCCTCTTTCTCGCACATATTTTTATATACGTGTAGACTATATATACACATATATTAGATAGATAGATAGATAGATATAATATTGTTATATATATCGTGTGTAAACAGACACACTATCGCGCGCGCCCCCACACACGTACATACACATGGATTAACCTATCTTTCTTCACTCGTCCCTTGTGTGTTCATCATTTTACGTCGAAATGCAGGCGATAAGGAGAATATATGATAGTCTCTACCTCCGTATAGAATTAGAATACAAACACCGAAGATAGAAGATTCAAAGTTTCTTTTTATTTATTTATGATCAGAAATATGATATCGAATTTATTTAAGTCGTAGGGGAAAAAAAGCGGCAAAATCGCACGCTCGTCTCTGCGCCTTTGTTCTCGGTCGCCGGCGGGAATGCATTCGGCGCCGCGACGGAACCCTTATCCTGAGCGAACGGCAGGTGTCGCTGCGGCGCGTGATCGTCTTTTCTTTAACCCTCTTTGAACCTCATTTCGAAACCTTTTAGAATCGCGTTTAGAACCAAAAAGAATAGAAATCGATTTTAATGAACACCATGCTTTCTCTGTGATTATATGTAAGATCATTATTATATCCTCGTCATCTTCGATTTATTTTTTTGGACAAGAGCGAAGATGCGATAAAGAATCGGATGCTTTTCCCATCATTTCACTTATATCATAAACACGCGAATACAAGTTCACGCTTCGTCTTCGCGCCAAATGAAGCAGGATCGGAATCCATTGGGCGATAATTTTTCCGGCGTTTGAGGCTCGGCTCAATTTCTCGAATCAGTGGGGGGGGAGGGGATGAAGCAACATGGCCATCTACTTCAATTTTCGCTCAGTTCAGTTTAGTTTAAGCGGATTGCTGATTTTTTTTCTGTTCCCCATTTAGCATTTTTTCCTGTTTTATTTTTTTTCGTACCATTTTTATCGAGCGAAATCATTTCATGCCATCCAGTTGTTTACCCTGTTTTTTTCGCCTTTTATTTTTCTTTATTTTCCTTTATTTTTTTCTTTATTTTTTTCATCTATACTTCCCTTGCATTCACCGAGACGGAATAATGTACGCCAACCTTTTTTATTATTTTTATTTCCGCATTTATTTATTTATAACCTATGTATTTAACCTATTCATCAGTCTATTTTTATTTTTTACTTATTTAGTTTTATATTGTATTATTGTTTTCATTATCTTTTTTATTATTATTTCATTTATTATTTGACCACGGATTGTCGCGGGGCACGGGGGAGCGCGCGGGTTGACGCCCCCGGGCCCGCCTCGAAAAAAGCCCCATGTCGAAGGTTGGGACTTCCTCATACCCAGAGTCAAGGATCGGCCAAAATTATGCGTCTTTTTTTTCTTTTTCCTTTTTTCTAAGGGGACTATCGTGACGAATTGGAGGGGGGGGGAGGTATTAGAAGACCTGATTGTCAAGCGGCGTCGCGTTAGGAAGAGAGTACAAAAAGAAAAAAAAAATGATTCGTTTTTAAGGAAGTCGTTTCGGAGTCGCGGTTAACGGAGAGTTCAAGAAGATTTACGTTTTGACATAAAGAAAAAGATAGATAAATGAAAATATAAATGAATTATAAGCACATACCGAGACGAACGGTTTCACGTTATTTCATTTCGCCACGATGACTCAGCATGTTTGGAAAAACAACAAGACCGTTCCAGCAATAAAAAAAAGAATAAATAAATAAAAAAAATCATATATATCCGATTTTCTTATTTACTTCTCTTAAGCACTTTAAATGGATTTTTTTTTCGCCAGTGTAAACAGCTCACAAAGCCGCGATTATATTGCGTTCATTAAGTAGCCACGACATACATAACTGCGAATAGCGGCCTCTGTTGTAACATGAAATTTTACACCGTGTTGAAAAGCCGCTATATACATCCGTGTACGTTGTTTTTTTTTCCTTGTGAATTCTTATTTGTTTTGTTGTTTGTATTTATTAAGGCGTTTGGTGTCCTTGTTTTGAGTGTCTGACACGATGGATTAAAGCATTTCCCCCTTTTCTTTCTCTTCCACAGGAGGACGATCTTTTCCACTGTCCAGAAAGTAAGTACCGACATGTGGCAACACCGCAGCAGCTGATGCCACATTACTGTTCTCGGCAGGTTAGGGAGGGGGAGCTGGGGGGGGGAGGGAGAAAGCCAGGGGAGGGGGAATGGGAGGGAGGAGGAGGAGGAGGAAGAGGGGGAGGAGGAGGAGGACGAGGAGGAGGAGGACGAGGAAGGGGGAAGAGGAGGTGGAAGGGGGAAGAGGAGGAGGAGAAGGTGGAAGGGGGAAGAGGAGGAGGAGGAGGAAGGGGGAAGAGGAGGAGGAAGAGGGAAGAGGAGGAGAAGGAGAAGGAGGAGGAGGAGGAGAAAGAAAGGCAGGGGAGGGAGGAAGGGGGAAGGAGGGAGGGAGAGGGGGATGAGAGAGCGGTTAAGCCCAAGGTCTACTTCATCATTCTTTTCAGGATCCTATGTAGCTATTGCAGTCTCCCCCGAGCTTTTGTATTTCCAAACATAAGGAGGGATGTATGGATATCTACTTTACTTTATATCTTTTTTTTTGGGGAAATCGCTGAAAAAAGAAAGGTTTAGCAAGAGGTCACAGAAGGTCTTGTGTTGCCTCATGACGGAGGTTTTTTTTTTAATATTATCATCTTGACTCAAGCTCCCACTCTATCAAACCTTTGCCCTTCACACGCGGAACCATTGAAGAAACGCCGCCAGAGTGGTTTCTTGCTTTTCTCTCCTCTGCTTTTTTTTCCATTTTCGTTTTTATTTTCGTTTTTCAAGGTCATCTGGCCACCCAAGTCCATTTTTTCGTGACCTTTGTCCTGGTCGTTCGGAGACGCCTGTGATGACCTTTCCGTAGCTTCGTCTTTGTCCTCTGAGTCCCCCCCACCCCCCCTTGGCCGGCATTCAGCTTTTTACCCTGTCTCTCTTACCCTGTTTTTCTATCTAAGCCTCTCTACCTGTCTTTTTATCTTAGCCTCTCTAACCCTGTCTCCTTACCCCGTGTTTCTTAGCCTGTCTACCTGTCTCTCTACCTTGTCTGCTCCCCTGCCTCTCTACCCTTTCCTCCTCCGCCGCCTCTCTCCCTGTCGCCTAACTTGCCTCTCTACCCTTTCCTCCTCCGCCGCCTCTCTCTCCCTGTCGCCTAACTTGCCTCTCTACCCTGGCTCTATCCTTCTTGCCGTACCCTGCCCCTCTACGCTTTACCCCCCCCCTCCCCTGCCTCCCTCCCGTAACCCGCTTCCTCGCCGTCTCTTCCTACCATTCCTCTTGCCTCGGGAGTCGAACTGGAGCCTCCATCACCCGGCGGCGGAGGAGAATACAGCTGAGACAGATCACACGAGACTTGGGAAGCTGCTGTCTCTCATCCAGCCGTTAGGAATAACTGTGGCGATGGCTACGCACGCCAGCGGGGATGTAAGGTGGCAGGGGAGGGGAGGGAGAATCGATAGATGTAGATAGATAGTTTGAGTGCCAGGTGTTTGAGAACTAGAGAGGTGTAAATAATATGTGGACAGGTTTAAAGAGAGGGGAAATATATGGCTGCGAAATGGCCAGGTACCGACCTGCGCAGATTAATAAATTACGTACATGTGATAGCTTCGTTGATGTGCATGTATATATACAGTATGTTCTTTAGAGACAATTATAGCAGCGTATACAGAGCGTAGACTCGCCTCGTACCCAGGGCACAGCTCCGTACGAGACCCGGGGAGACAGGCGGCCAGTCACAGGTTGAATGAACTCCCCCAACTCTACGAGAAGTGGGGAGAGGGTCAGGGGAGAGGGAGAGAGGGGTAAGGGGAAGGGGGGCGAGGTCGTAGTGGGTATAGCGCGAAGTATAAAATGAACTTGAAGGAGGTTTTTCAATTGTACGAGAGGTGGGGAGAGGGGCAGAGGGAGAGAGAGAGAGGAGGAAGAGGTCGCAGTGGGCATAAGGAACTTGAATGGAGGGGGGAGGGTCAGAGGAGCGGGGGAGAGGGTAGAGGGAGAGGGAGAGGAGAAATTGATAAGGAGGAGGAGGGTGAGGTCTTACTGGACATAATGAACTTGAATGAACTCCAACTCTACGAGAGGGAGAGGGGAGGGGGGAGGAGGAGGAATATAAAATGATGTCTTAGATGTTGTCTCAGGAAGCAGGTGCTCCTCGATGTTGCCTCGGAGGAGGGACGGAGACGGAGCGATGACCAGTGAACGGAAGAGGACGAGATGTTAGATGTTGGGGCAGAGCTTCCGAGTCGTCGCGTGTTCACTTGTTTGTCTCCTTTCTTTCTTTCTTTACTTTTTTGTTCTTTTTCTTTCGTCTTTTCCTCTCTTTTTTCCATGCCGTGGGACCCATTCGAGATAACTTTTTTTCTTTTTTTTTTACTGATCTCGTTCGAAAAAAAAATATATAATAATAACGGTAAAATCTCTGAAGATAATCGCCAAGTCATCTAAGCAGCAACACTCCAGCTTAGCTCTACTTCGCTGAAACGCGCCTCCTGCCGAGTCCTTGGAAGAAGTACCCTAAAAAATGCTTTCCGATGCAGCCCACAGCCTCCATGACTTTCAGGCGTCGTAAAGCCTCATCTTTCATTTATCGGGGACAAGTACGCCGGGCCGGGAGCAAGGTCTGACATGCAGCCAGGATTCGGAACAGGTTCATAGCGGCATTTTGACGTCGCAGCCACCGCAGCCAGTGCATTCGACGCCGCGAGGCCCACCGGCAGCTTGGCCCCGGCGTTCGGGGAGGAGCGGGGAGAGAGGTGTGCTTTTGTGGCTCTTGGTAAACGTTTCGGGGTCGAATGGCGTCCGGTTGGCGAGTTTCGCCCTTGCTTCGTGCTGTACTTAGTTGTGTGTGTGTGTGTGTGTGTGTGTGTGTGTGTGTGTGTGTGTGTGTGTGTGTGTGTGTGTGTGTGATGTATGTTGTATATTTATTTATATATACATATATTTATATATATATATATATATATATATATATATATATATATATATATATATATATATATATATATATATATATACATGTATATATAATATATATTTATTTGTATATATATATATATATATATATATATATATATATATATATATATATATATATATATCTGTATATATATCTGTGTATATATATATATATATATATATATATATATATATATATATATATATATATATATATATATATATATTTACACATATAAGCATATACATATATTTCCATATATGTAGATATACATGTGCATCTATCGCCTACATTTGCATTTATATAGACATTTATACATATGCGCATACAAAAGCGTCTAAAAGTACATTGTTCTACAAAAGACCTGCGGCTTTTATAAAACCCGTTTCATTGTCTTCCCATATATTAAAACTCACAAGGTCAAGCTGCCAGCTGTAGGGCCTGGCGGGGCATCGTCGTCGTCGTCGTTGATGTGTGAGAAATTCATGCGGAGGAGAGTTGCCTGCTGAACCTGGGCTGTGGTAAACGCGGTGTGTACTTTGCGTTATTGGGAAGATAAGAAAAAAAGGAAAAAGAGTTTTTGTGGCAAGCATATTTTCGTGTTTTTTTCTCATAAGTTTAGAACTAGTTCTTACGGCGGAGGGTGGCAGGTGTCCGGCAATGGATCTAGTCCGCGCCCTTCCCCCCTCCTCTCCTCCTCCTCCTCCTCCTCCTCCTCCTCCTCCTCCTCCTCCTCCTCCTCCTCCTCCTCCTCCTCCTCCTCCTCCTCCTCCACCTCCTATCCCTCCTTCTCCACATCCTATTCCTCCTCCTCCACCTCCTATTCTTCCTCCTCCTCCTTCTATTCCTCTTCCCATTTCTCTTCCTCCTCCTCCTACTCCTCGTCCTCCACATCCACCTCCTATCCCTTCTTCTGACCCCCCCCCCCCCTCCTATTCCTCCCATTCCTTCTCCTCCTTCTCTCCCTCTCCCCACCACTCAGCTTCTTCCCACCGCTCCTCCCTCTCCCCCCACCCCCCTCCCCCTCCTTCCTCCAGCCTCCACTGGACCCAACCTAACTGTACATCTGCGTCGCCTACATACCGCAACCTTCTGGTCGAACGTATCACTCCCTTGGCTGTTCGGGGCTTCATTCTCCTCCCTCCTCTCGTCGCGTGTTATGATGTCATTAGCGGCTTAATTCGTCCGCGAGTTAATGTGCGAATAAGAAGACGTCATTGGCAGCGGGACGTTCGATTCCGTGACACGACTGGGGGGGGATTTCCGTGTTTTTTTTTTTTTTTTTTTTTTTTTTTTTTTTTTTGGCTAGAGTTGACTTGAGTTGGCTTGAGTTGGCTTGTCTTGGACGTGGAGGAATGGGGGAGCTGGCGGGAACTGACAGCTTTGGTTGCTTAAAAAAAAATGCTTTAAAAAACTGAACATCAGAGCATCGAAGGTCCTGGACACGTTGCCTTCACGTAGGAACAAATAGAACAAGGAAGATATTTCAGTGGGAAATTAATACTGACTATCTTGTAAAAACAATAATAATGATAAAAAATGTATGTATTTCAAAAGCAAAATAATGCTGACTGTCGTGTAAGAATAAGAAAAAAATGATATTACAGAAGCTAAATAATAATGACTGTCGAGTAAGAATTAGAACAAAAAGAAAGAAGAATTAATTAAAACGATATAACAAAGACAAAAATGATACTGACTGTCTTTGCGTTCGTATCCTCGCCCGAACGCCGCGACCCAGTGCGACTCGCGTTGCTCGGTATTCGAGTAGGAGTTCCGAGGAATGCAGCTCCGGGCGGGGCGGAGGGGGGGGGGGCGGCGAGCATGCTGGTAGGGCCCTAGAGGGAGGGAGGGAGGGAGGTAAGGATAGATGGGAGAGGGAGGGAGGGAGGGAGGGAAGGAGAGATGGGAGAGGGAGGGAGGGAGGGAGACATGAGAGAGGGAAGGAGGGATGGCTGCTCGCTGAGGGGAAGGGAGGCCGTAAGGACGACGACGGGGGCGAAGGAGGCGCGCGCCCTCAGTCGCCGAGGGGCGTAGGGGGAACGCGAGCGGAGAAGAGGCGGCCGGCTGGGAGGAGCAGCTTAACGGACTGCACCTGAGAG